GGGTGTGAAACATCTGAGCTGGTAATGTAAAGGCTGTAGGTTCAAAGGTCAGACAGACTGATCCATGAATCTAGCACCACGCTGCCCTGGAGCAGGACACTTAACCCAGTGTGTTACAATAGCATTGTCTGTCATAAGGGAACTGTATGCTGGAACAACAATGACATACAGTTGAAGTCAAAATTATAAGACCCCTTTTAATTTTTTTTTTTCTTTTTTAAATATTTCCCAAATGATGTGTAACGAAGCAAAGAAATTTTCACAGTATGTCTGATAAAATTTTTCTTCTTGTGACAGTCTTATTTTAGTTTGTCTGGGATAACACCAATATTTTTAAAACGTATATGGAAAAATGCTGTGGTTAATATTATTATTATTATTAAATAATTTTTTGATTGGCAACAGAACAAATCACTGCTGTCAAATAACTTAACTAATAACCAAAATTTTTACCTAATTAAACCTTTAAACTGTGCTTATATTACTAAACTGCAAAATACTATTTACTGTCACAATGGCAAAAATAAAAATAAATTCTGTTTTAAAGCTATTGTGTTTAGAATTGTGTATTTTAGGTGTTATTAATCAAAATTAATTGTTTGACAGAACTAATAATGCTGAATTTAATGTTGTCGTCTTTGTTTCAGGATCACTGTTTTGCCAAATGGAGTCCTGCAGATTCGCAATGTGACAATGAGGGATGCGGGGAAATATCGCTGCGTCGCTGCAAACGCAGCCAGTCGAGTGACGAGCCGAGAGGCCGAGCTGGTCCTCATCCCAGGTTTGTGCTTTAATGATCATTTCAGAGGAGTAAAAGATAAGCGATTACACAGATAACAGTAGTCCTGTTTTTAATCTGCCGCTATGCTGACACAGACACACAGGCATTTGTAGCTCCGCCCTCTTCTGAAAAGAGCACAATCTCATTTGCATTTAAAGCTACAGTCACCAAAACGCCACAATTAGGCAGGAAGGCTAAAAGAGTCAGTTTCTGGGAGGTAGAGAACATTATCAGGGCGCTGTTTTGAGCTGAAACCTAACATATACACTCTAGAGACATCTAAAGGAGCATAATAGGTTCCCTTTATCGAAGGTAAACACAACAGATATGTTAAATCTATTCATTTGTGTTCACCAGAGGAAAGAACCCCACAGATGCTGAGTAAATAAAGAGTATGCTTTTTGAATTAGCTAGAACTTTTCCTTTAAATGTGCATGTTTTCTGTGCAGCGGGGGGTCCGAGGCGTCTCCTGAAACCGCTCATCATTGCAGGCCCCCAAAATATCAGCGTGGCTCTGCATCAGCCGGTGGTTCTGGAGTGTTTGGCTGAAGGAAACCCTCGGCCGCTCGTGTCCTGGAGCCGTGCCGACTCTAAACCAATTGACGTTTCTGCAGCAAGTGTTCTGGGAAACGGTAACCTGATGATCTCTGCTGTTAAAGCGCACCATAGTGGGACGTATGTGTGCCGTGCAACGACACCGGGAACACGAAACTACACCACGGCGGCCGGAAACGTCACCGTACTCCGTAAGAGACGCAGACACTGCATTAAAACTAGTTCTACTAACCATAATGAATAACATGCACATTAAAAACATTAGCATTAGCCTAAGCTATAGAAGCATTCATACAGTTGAAGCCACAATTATTTGCCCTGAAAAAAATCTTCCGTCTGTTAAACTGAAATTGTGAGAAAAACATACAGGGGGCTAATAATTTTGAATCAACTGTATGTGCCCTAAATCTCTCCTAAACCCTCACTGGGTATTTATTCCCTCATGTTTTCACTCCTCTTTTGCAGTTCCTCCATCTTTGGTGGAGAAACCAGAGAGTCAGACTCGACCCCGAGCCGGGACGGCCCGTTTTAGCTGTCAGGCTGAAGGTACACCAACACCCCAAATCACCTGGTTTAAGAACGGAGAGGTGATCCGAACCAACGGGCGCACAAAGATGTACAACAAGTAAGTCCAGACCAATACCTCTACTGGAATTGAGCCTAGGTTGAGCCTATGAAATGCAGTGAATGCAGTGAATGCGGTGGCCTTTGGAGGCTTGAGACACAGCGACAGTCTGCTCGGTTACTGACTTATTTTCCTTCGTTGTGTCCCAGTAAACTAGTGATAACCCAGATCATTCCGGAGGACGACGCCTTTTACCAGTGCCTGGCTGAAAACTCACAGGGCTCAGTTGTGTCCACATCCCGTCTCATCGTGGTACAGTCGGAGAACCGTCCCAGCGCTCCACGCAACATCCACGCAGAAACTATCTCAAGCTCAGCCATCTTACTGGCGTGGGAAAGACCGCAATATAATGCCGATAAAGTCATCGCCTACTCCATACACTACATGAAGTCTGAGGGTGAGTTCCAAGCTGGTACATGCAACTCTAGATGTATCCCAAAACTGTTTGCCAACAAATATGAGCTTGGCCTGACTGTTAGAATATTCCCAATGTGTCTGCACCTGTAATCTAATTTAAGATCTGGATTGAAACTAAAATGGTATTGTCTGTACACTCAGGTCTAAACAATGAAGAGTATCAGGCTGTGATCGGGAATGATACAACCAGCCACATTGTGGACGATCTGGAGCCAGCGCGAAACTACACCTTTTATATCGTGGCCTACATGGCGATGGGTGCCAGTCGCATGTCAGAGCAGGTCACAAGGCACACACTAGAGGATGGTGAGCACTTTATTATTATAGACGAAGGGTTCTTATCACCGGTCCATTTCCCTGCAGAGGCGTCAATCTGAAAACAGCCAGTCAAGGTGTTGATCACTAGGAACTTACAGACCATGGACCAGGAGTGGACAACTGTTGCCTTTTAGATCATAGAGTTTAACTTCAACCCTGATCAAACTTAACAATCTGTAGCTTTTTAGTAATCCTGAAGACATTAAGATGTTCAGGTGCATTTAATAAGCAGTTGCCCGGATAAACTCTGCAGAAATGTGGATTTCAAAGGCCAGAATTGCCCGGTTCAGATTAAAACTCTATTAGAAAGTTTATCTCAATGGCCACAGTTACCCAGTGTTGACCTAAAACCCACAATAAAGTGACTCTTGAGATCTAGAATTGCCCAGTCTTAATTTAAAACATTAAATGAAAGTGGATTTCGAAGGCCATGTTTGCCCAGTCCTTATCTAAAACCTGCAGGAAAGTTTATTTTGAGGGCTATAAATCCCTATTCCTGATTAAATCTCTACTAGAAAGTTAATCTCTGGCACCATAGTTGCCCCGTTCTGATTTAAAACCTGCAAGAAAGTGAATCTCAAGAGCTTGAATTTCCCAGTCCTGATCTAAAACCTGAAGAAAGGTGTATTTTGAGAGCCACAGTTACCCAGTCTTGATCCAAAATTCTACAAGAAAGTGGATCTTGAGGATTACAATCGCCCATTCTTGATCTAAACCTCTAAAAGAAAGTGTATCAAGCCACAGTTCCCCAGACCTAATCTATAACCTGCAGGAAAGTGTATCTTGAGAGTCTTGATCTAAAACTCAACAAGACAGTGGATCTTTTGAGTGTCATAGTGACCCAGTCCTGATCTAAAACCTGCAGGAAAGTGTATCTCGGGAGCCCGAATTGTCTAGTTCTGATCTGAAACTCTACAAGAAAGTGTGTCATTAGGGCCAGAATTGCCTAGTCCTTATTAAAACTCTACAAGGAAAGTGAATCTTGTGGGTCATAGTTGCCCAGTCCTGATCTAAAACCTTGACCAAAGTGGATCTTAAGGGCTAGAGTTGCCCACCTTGATCTAAAATTCTACAAGAAAGTGTGTCTTGATGGTTAAAGTCGCCCATTCTTGATCTAAACTACTAAAAGAACGCGTATAAAGCCACATTTTTCCACACCTAAAATAAAACCTGCAGGAAAGTGTATCTTAAGAGTCTTGATCTAAAACTCAACAAGACAGTGGATGTTTTGAGTGTAATAGTTACCCAGTCCTGATCTAAAACTTGCAGGAAAGTGTATCTCGGGAGCCCGAATTGTCTTGTAATTGAAAAGTGTATCACAAGGGCAGAATTGCCTAGTCCTCATTAAAACTCTACAAGGAAAGTGTATCTTGGGGGCAATAGTTGCCCAGTCTTGATCTAAAACCTTGAGCAAAGTGGATCTTGAGGGCTTGGAGTTGCCCACCTTAATCTTAACCCTGCAGGAAAGCAGACCTCAAGTTTAGTTTACTTCAGAAACCCTATTCTAGACCACCTCAAAATGTTGCCCTGAAGTACAACAAACCTTTCAGAAGTGTTTTTGACCACATAACTTAACTTGTCCCCAGTTCCCCTCCGCACTCCTGAGTTGAGCCTAACAAGTCGCAGCCCTACTGATATCCTGGTGTCCTGGCAGCCTCTTCCTCCAAAACTCAGCCGTGGACGTGTGTCTGCGTATCGTCTGTCCTACCGTACAGCTACAGATGAGCAGGTAAACTCAGTTGAGCTGCCTGTCTCAGGTGAGAACGGCACCCAGTACCTCCTGCAAGATCTGCAACCTGACACCATTTATCTGATCCGGATGTCTGTGTCAACCCGAGTGGGCTGGAGCCAACCATCTGCCTGGAGCTCTCATCGAACTCCCAAAACATCCAGCGCCACAGGTGAGAGCAGTTTATTTTGGGCTATAACCATGGCTGTATTGCTTCTTCCCAATAAATAGAGTGTTATTCTGAAGTCTAAAGTCTGGTAGGACTTAAATCAGTGAAGTAACAATGCTTAGGACAATACACAATCTGAGAAGTTTAGTTTATTGATGTTGATTTCAGTTTTTGAGACTTCAAGTTCATTACGAGATCCTTCAAACTGAGATGCATCCTCTTCACTCCTGAATCCTTTTATCGCCAAAGTCACTTTTTCCCATCCCAAACCTTCCTGTTTTCCCCCAGACAAGTTCATGATGAGTTTGTTCAAGGTAGAAATTACTCTCGGTCCGTCTAACTAAACATAACACAAAGATCCGGTTGAGCAAATATCCATTAGAAAAGGGAAAATAAAGGGGGCCCCGTCACCTTCTCCACACACGGGTCTTTCTAAAGCAGGTCTATTCTTTAGGTGGCCTGAAGCGTTCCCTTTATGACCCGAAACTGAGCCGTCCCTCAGCTCCTAACTGACAGCTCGGGTCAAGGGTCATTGAGTAACAAACGTAATGCCGGAACAAAGCCAGTCCTGAAAGCCAAAGGCATCTGTCACGGTCAGAGCTGCCCACTTCAGCGGCTTCACGGAGATTGTCGGAGCATTTCTGAAAGCAGCTTTACATAAAGCTTAATTTCTTCTGAAGAACATCTGACCATGCAGATCTCACTTCCAGAACCTCAAGTCTTTTATTGCTGAGTATTCTGAAGGCTCTATTAAGAGCTTCAATAGAAGCTTTTCATGTTTTTATGAAAAAAGTGTGTATAGATTAAAAAGGTTGAGCTTTTTTAAGGAGTGGTTCACCTCCAGAATGATTGGTCACTACTGAAATTCATTTGTAGTTAATCATCACCATTGTCTTGCATAGTATTTTTCTTTATTATTAAAGTCAATGGTGAACATCAACTGTTGGGTTACCAACTTACTTCAATTTATTTTTCTGTATGTTTAACAGTTAACACAGAATTGCTCTGTTCTGATTTAAACTCTAAAAGGAAGTTTTTCTCAATGGCCGCAGTTACCCAGTGTTGACCTAAAACCCACAATAAAGTGGTTCTTGAGAACCAGAATTGCCCAGTCTTGATTTAAAACATTATACGAAAGTGGATTTCTAGAACCATGTTTTTCCAGTCCTGATCTAAAACCTGCAGCAAAGTGTATCTCGAAGGCTAGAATTCTCTAGTCCTGTTTAAAACTCTATAAGTTAAACTTTGAAACCATAGTTGCCCAGTCCTGATTTAAAACCTGCAGGAAAGTGAATCTCAAGAGCTTGAACTTCCCTGTCCTGATCTAAAACCTGAAAGTAAGTGTTTTTGAGAGCCACAGTTACCCAGTCTTGATCTAAAATTCTACAAGAAAGTGGATCTTGAGGGTTACAATCGCCCATACTTGATCTAAACCTCTAAAAAAAAAGTGTATCAAGCCACAGTTCCCCAGACCTAATCTATAACCTGTAGAAAGGTGTATCTTGAGAGTCTTGATCTAAAACTCAACAAGGCAGTGGCTCTTTTAAGTGTCATAGTTACTCAGTCCTGATCTAAAACCTGCAGGAAAGTGTATCTCGGGAGCCCGAATTGTCTAGTTCTGATCTAAAACTCTACAAGAAATTGTGTCATAAGGGCCAGAATTGCCTAGTCCTTATTAAAACTCTACAAGGAAAGTGTATCTTGAGGGTCATAGTTGCCCAGTCCTGATCTAAAACCTTGAGCAAAGTGAATCTTGAGGGCTAGAGTTGCCCACCTTAATCTAAAATTCTACAAGAAAGTGTGTCTTGAGGGTTAGAGTCGCCCTTTCTTGATCTAAACCTCTAAAAGAACGCGTATAAAGCCACAGTTCCCCAGACCTAATCTAAAACCTGCAGGAAAGTGAATCTCAAGAGCCTGAACTTCCCAGTTCTGATCTAAAACCTGAAAGTAAGTGTATTTTGAGAGCCACAGTTACCCAGTCTTGATCTAAAACTCTACAAGAAAGTGGATCTTGAGGGTTTTAATCGCCCATACTTGATGTAAATGAAAGCATATGTAAAATCTGTAGGAAAGTGTACCTTGAGAGTCTTGATCTAAAACTCAACAAGACAGTGGATCTTTTGAGTGTCATAGTTACTCAGTCCTGATCTGAAACCTGCAGGAAAGTGTATCGCACCACTTCATTCAATGGTTTGATAAGAACTGTCTTGCATGAAGCTTTCCATGTTTTTAATGAAAAAAGTGTGTATAGGTTATACAAGTTGAGCTGTTTTAAGGAGTAGTTCACCTCCAGAATGATTGGTCACTATTGAAATTTATTTCCAGTTGATCATCTCCATTGTCTTGCATAGTATTTTTCCTTACTATGAAAGTCAATGGTGAACATCAACCGTTCCGATACCAACTTTCCTCAAAATGTCTTTTTTTCTGTGTGTTTAACAGTTTAAAGAAACTCATAAGCTTTGGTACAAATGGAGTAAATGATGACAATAGTCATTCTGGAAGTGAAATACTTATATAGACCATTTCAGGGTGGAGATGTCTTTGGCCCATAAACATTTCCTGCTTGTTGTCAAACAACTTCATGACTGTGACAAGATGCAATTCAATAATATCTTATCATTATTTATCATTATGTGGACCATTTTGGATTCTCAGAAGCTGTGTAAAATAAACTGTAAAACAGTGAATATGTTAGGATTACTGTTATTGTTTACATCCCTCAAAAGGGTCTATACTTCTTTAAAGAACCCCTACACTTTTTTGATTATAGGCTCCTTTTACAGCTCTCCTAGAGTTTAGTTAGACCATTTTTTTAAATCATTCAGCCGATCTTCATGTCTGGTCAGAACACTTTTAGCTTAGCTTAGCATAGATCATTAAATCAGATTAGACCATTAGCATCTTACTAAAATAAAATCACTAAAAAGTTTCTATAATTTTCCCATTTAAAGCTTGAATCTTCTGTAGTTGCATTGTGTGCTAAGACTGACCAAACAAAATAAGTTGCTATTGCTATTGTGCATGCGGTAGCCATGGTACAGTTGTAAAGTGTAGACATATAGATATATATATCCTAGACATAAAAAATGGAAACTTTTTGGAAAAGTTTCTGTCGGTAATGGAAACTTTTCAATCTGTTGGTCTTAGTACACAATGTAACCACAAAAGAGTCAAGCTTTAAATAGGAAACTTAATGCTAATGGTCTAATCTGATTCATTTGTCTATGCTAAGCTATGCTAAAAAAGCTTCTACCAGACTCAGAAATCGACTGAATAATAAAAAAATGAAAAAACTCAGAGGTTTAATTGTGGGGAAGCAGTAAAATTGGCCTTTTTTTTAACTGGGGGAGTTTCTTTAATCACAGTTCACTGAAAGTTCTTTGGGAACCCAAAAAAGTTCTTCTACATCACGGGCGTCAAACTAATTGTGTCCTTCAGGCTTGTTTGAAACCTACAGGTAAGTGTGCTGAAGCAGGGCTCGAACTAAACTGTCCAAGAACTGAGTTTGACACCCTGTCTACATCATCGCAATCACTAAAACTAGTGCTGCACAATAAACATTTGACATTGCGATGTTTTGCGGTCTCCATTGCGATAGGAATGAATGTAGTTAGCTCTATTTGGAAAGATTTCATACATGTAGATCAACTGGGATGATCAAGACTTTTTCTAGATTCTAGTGCGTCTGCATAAATTATAATAAATTACAAGGAAAATCAAATTAATGGACAGTGCTTTACGGTTTTCTCTGCAATCTAACAGTACAAGTAGAAATTCAACAATCAAATGTAAAATGTGTTCGTAATGTAATTAGGATTTCCATATAAACAGAAACATTTAAGCTTTTATTAAAACATGTTTGCTAAAGTTTATATTTATTAATTATTATATTAAGTATTTAAATTTATTTTGAATTAGAACTTTTTTTTTTTTAATCAATATTAATTTATATGGCAAAGCAAGGCAAACTTATTTATAGAACACAATTTTACACTACCTTAGCTGATCCAAAGCTCTTTACAATACAATAAAATATTTAATCAATAATCAATTTCCCAGTACCGGGTTGCAGCTGGAAGGGCATCCATTGTGTAAAACTTATGCTGGATAAGTTGGCGGTTCATTCCACTGTGATGACCCCTGATTAATAAAGGGACTAAGCCGAAAAGAAAATGAATGAATGAATAAGAAATAAAATTAAACTTAAAAATATAAAAAAAATAAATTGAGATACAGATATAAAATAACATGCATGCATCACTCAAAGGCAAGGAAGTACATTTTAAATTAGGTATAAAAGCATCCAATGATGGAGAAATCCTGATGTTCAGATGGAGACTGTTCCAGAGTCTCGGGGCCCCACACAGAAAGCTTGATCACGTTTGCAATGAGACCAAAGGACAGACAAAAGAAACTGATCATAGAATAATAATCAAATGTAAAATATCATAGTCATTCTATAAATAATAATAACAAATTATATTCAATAATATCTTTATCTTTTAATCTTTATTAAATAATCTAATCCTCTGATATTGCAAATACACATAATGCGATATCGATGCTCAAACAAGACATTGTTCAGCCCTCGCTGACACCCTGCCTTGTGGACAATACAAAACAGTCCCGCAGACTGAACCAGACACAACTCTACAGCAGTGTGGTTTTATCTTGATGTTGATTTAAGGTCTGTTTCTGCCCTCAGTGCCTCCTGCCCCAAACCTTGAGCTTGAACCTCTAAACTGCACCTCTGTGTCGGTCCGCTGGTTTCCGGCTGCCAGTGATGTTCTCATTCAAGGATTCAAGCTGTCTTTTCATCCCGACGGCCAATCAGAGGACTCCATTACCCAGCTGCCCCCACAGGACCACCAGCACACCATCACAGCGCTCAGTGAGTCCTCCAGAACTCGTGTCTGTGTTTTAATGAGAAACACTTAAATTATTTATGTATATTTTACACAGCTAGAAATGTGCATTGTATTAGGAATCAGCCCACATATTGTACAGATATAAATAATAACTGATGACGGGCATTTGAGTAATTAGAAGTGATTATGCGGGATGTGCATTAGTTTTTAATACTTTAGTGTTTAGGGGGTGGATGATTGCTCTTCTCCTCTGGTCTCCAGCATCTCTGCTGAATCCACTGTAGGGATGTCGTGTTTGAGAGTTTATTTGTCAGGCGTTTAACATCTCCTGTGTGTAGCACTAGTTTCTTCTGCATCTCCTCCTCCTTCTGTGGTGTTCTGATGTGATTTTTGACTGTTGTAGCTGTGAAATAACTCTAATCATTTGGCGGAGTGATCTGGAGCTGTAATATGCTTTAAACCTGCCGGAACTACTTTAGCTGTGCCTTTATCTAACAATAACCAAACACCTGAGAGTGCTCATCAGCCAATCAGAATCAAGCATTCACTAGACATAGTGGTGGTAAGGATGGTCGTTGCTTTTTTTTCTGTAAATCCTGTACTGTATAATTGGTCTTAAATTTCATCCTTATTTCATCCATGTTAAAAAGGTCTTAAAATCTTAGATTGAACTCTGCAGACACCCTGAAAAACATGTCCACAGTATTTTAAGCATATCATTGTGTGCATGTTTCAGTCGCTGATCAATAATTACCCTTCTTCTGTTGGGACTTATGCACGGTTGGCCTGTCCGCCGTGTCCATGGCTTTGTGTGTGTCACTAATATCCCGCAGGGGTCAGAGGTCACAGCCCAGATGTCTGCTTTTGGCTTTCCCATCGCTCTCCATGGTCGTCTATTGTGTTTGGGTTTAAGGTCGGTCAGAGCCCCGTGAGAGCGAAACTCCCCCCTCGCCCCTACAGCTGGACAATCCTGCTCCAACAAAGCATTCTGGGATTGATCCGAGCTGGGCACAACTGACCCAAGAGCAAAGGACTTGTCAAGTTCATGCAAATTTGAGTTCAGTCTCCTGATGGAGTGAAAACTGTGCAAATGGGCTCGGGTCAGGGTTCATTTCTGTTCAGCTGACCAACCGGACAATAATATATGCAAATATATTCATTCATTCATTCATTCAAAACTTCTTGAGTATTTCAAATAGATTCATATTTTTAGCCTTTTATAAATATTTGCAGGGGAATTGAAATATAATTTAATTACAAAGTTTGTTTTTTTATGAAAGATTTTTAAAATTTTGATTTGGGTATCCATATAGGCGGAAACATTTGATCTCTTTTTTTTTAACAGAAATAATTCTAAGATTTATTAATTCTAATATTCAGAGTCATTTAGTTCACCATAGATTAAAATAGTTTGCTTAGAAAAAAAAAAAGTTTCTAAGAAAATACCGTATTTATTAAATATCATATTTATCATATATATGATATATTATTTTATTATAACATATTTTAAATTTGGAAATTAGCAATAATACATGTATTTTATATAGCATCTTTAAAACATAATTCTCAAAGCGCTATAATAAAAATAAATGTAATATAATTCACTTAAAAGGTTGAGAAAATGTGTTCGTAATGTAATTAGGATTTCCATATAAGCAGAAACATTTAAGCTTTTATTAAAACATGTTTGCTAAAGTTTATATTTATTAATTATTATATTAATTATTTAAATTTATTATGAATTAGAACTTTTTTTATTTTTAAATGAATATTAATTTATATGGCAAAGCAAGGCAAACTTATTTATAGAGCACAATTTTACACTACCGTAGCTGATCCAAAGCTCTTTACAATAAAATAAAATATTTAATCAATAAACAATTGAAACAGCTGTAAGGGCATCCACTTTGTAAAACTTGCTGAATAAGTTGGCGGTTCATTCCACTGTGATGACCCCTGATTAATAAAGGGACTAAGCCGAAAAGAGAATGAATGAATAAGAAATAAAATTAATCTTAAAAATATAAAAAAAAATAATAATAAACTGAGATACAGATATAAAATAACATGCATGCATCACTCAAAGGCAAGGAAGTACATTTTAAATTGGGTATAAAAGCATCCAATGATGGAGAAATCCTGATGTTCAGATGGAGACTGTTCCAGAGCCTCGGGGCCCCACACAGAAAGCTTGATTACGTTTGCAATGAGACCAAAGGACAGACAAAAGAAACTGATCATAGAACCTTAATGGCCTACGAGCTGTATATGGCCTAATAAGTTCACATATATTGACCAGGGCAGAATTGTGCAATGCTTTATATGAGAAATCAACTCTGAGTTTTACAGGAATCCGGTGCAATGAGGCGAGGACAGCGGAGATATGATCTCTTTTACTTGTTCCTGTTATCAATCTGGCGGCTGCATTCTGAATCCACTGTAATCCTGAAAATG